TTAGTTGTCAGTTTTAATCATCACAATTAAATGAAATAAACATTTGAAATATATCAGTCTGTGTGTAATGAATGAATGAGTTTCACTTTTTGAATGGAATCAACTTTTTGACGATATTCTAATTATATGACCAGCACCTGTATATGTCATACTTTTCAGATTGCAAGTTTTCATACCCTCATGTCCAGCGAAAAACGTCCATCTCCAAATTTGGTGATTTTGAATTAGATTTTTTCTGACAAACTGACGATTAAGTGTTCCTTTGTGGGTTGAAAAAAAAAGTAAAATAAACGTTTTTTGTGAGCTAATGGAAAGTGGACTTTTTAGAGGTATGTGGTTCTCACAGGACAGCAACTCTTCAAATATATGATGATCTTAAAGAATATGATGCATTGCTGTCGATGAAACTACTTGAGAGTTGAGTTTAGCTGGCTCCCATCATTCATAGAGCCGACTCATTCACGATCGACACGTCACTGGTTCTTCTAGCACTGCACACAGTTTGGGCTGCATATCGAACTTCAATTCTTCAACCTAATACTGCCAAATACCAATGGCTCGCACTGAATACTCAGATGCTCAGATTTGTATTCTTCCGTATTTATACTTTAATCAGCTTCTGATTGACATCGTTTTGCCACTTTTAGACTGTAGTTTTGTTTCTGTTGATTTAAAGATGATACTGTTGACCATTTTATTGTCTTCAATGTGAGGTATTGCAAAAAGTATCATGATGTATCTGTACTGAAACTCAGGAATCATAAAAAGTCAGAGGTTCTTAAAAAAAAATATGTCAATGCTATTTAAGGCATTTTACATATTTTTTAATTTTATAAATATTTTATACCAAAAAGTAAAAATGCTGTGTACATTGAAGTATTTTAATACACTAACTACTTAAAATCATTTAAGTAGTTAGTATCATTTAGATTTTTTAAATATTTTATGTGCAACTTTACTCAAAAGAATACTGTCCTTTATTGCCATATGTAATGTTTAATATTAGATTTAGGTTCAGTTGTAGCATTGTTTTAGGATAATATTTAATGAGAGAAATAAGTAGTTCCTGCAGGTACAATTCCACCTATCAGATGGTAGGGGAGTAGCCTTGATGTAGCCTAAGAGGTGAAATCCAGGGTAGTCTCCAATAACTTTGCTCTGCGACCATATCAACATTTTACTACCTGCTCTCTTCTCAAATCTGATTTTTATAAGTAAGAAAATACTGATATATTTGTGAGTGACTAACTGAAACTACAAAACAGGGGATGGGCAAATTTAGGATTTTGAAAAGTGACCGGGACATGCCCCGCCCCATCCCCAGTGGAAATAACGCCGTTTTTGAATTTGAAAACAAAAAAACCCTCAATCCAACACAGAAGAAATTGATTTAGGAAAACATCAGACCAACAACATCAACAGACCATCAACAAGACAACTACTTTACCAAGACAAACATCAACACTACACAAGTTACACTAAGGTGCAGCTCCCCGACACCCAGTCAGACTGTGACGTTGCAACACAACCAGGAGAACAACAAACGCACGTTACACGCTATAGCCTTCAGCCCAACAAGCAATCATGATTTCAGTTAAATCCTTAAGTTGCTGTTACTGTTACCTTGTCTGTGGTCTGCTGGCATAGCACCGGATGCCTTCTGATCAGTTGCCGCCGTGCTGTTGCGGTTGTCTCGATTAGACGCCCATCTGGTTTTTACAGTTCAAGTTCTTTGGATGTTTAAAAACTCTTAAACCCTGCTGGGTCACCCGCTTTAGCTAGTTCTAAGCTGCTTAGATTGTGAATACAAATATAAATGTTTAAACTTTTGTCAGTATAGACATGCTGCACAGTATTATGGATTAGATTCTCCACAATTCAATTGTGAAGTTCAATTTACGGAAATAACAAGCTCCAAGTCTAATTCATTCAGATTTACCAGCATGGCAAACGGCAGATGGAGAAAAAAAAAGTGCGGTGAACTTTGAAGCGGACTTTAAGTCCAAATGTGTCCATCTCTTCATTATTTATATTCCTTTAGTCTGTAAGGGTCCACCATTCAAAATAATCAAAACGGAATTTCATAAAAATTTATCCAAGTTGTGAATCCTGTCACATATAGTCCATGGCTTTCTGTCTGCTAACTTCTGCCACACTTTTCTCTGCATCCTGCACCTTGTTGTGTATGCTTGTTTTCGTTACCTTGCTGCCTACAAAATAAAAGTGCCAAATCGAGGATTTGTAATCAGTATGATATTTGATATAATAATTTTTATACAAGTAATATTCATACTGGTTGAAATGAACAATTTCATCTGTGAGCGAAAGGAATTAAAGGCCTGTCCCCATAGGTCTGTCTGTCTATATTTGAGACAGACTATCAAATATAGGTCAATTTAGTGATTTTAGCAAATAAAAGCCTGAGCTATTAATTGAAGTTTTATGGTACACAGTGTCCTGCTGCTGTGTCCTGCATACAGAATCATATTTCAACACACAGCAACATGAAAGCAGTTTCAAAGCGTGTCTTGTCAGTCAGGCGTGTATCCTGGAGAAAACCAACACCCAGTCAAAAGTGAGAGGAAATGCACATTAAAACAGATGTGTAACAGATGTATTGTGGTCAAGTAACGTTCTTGTCTTGCCGCTGAGGGGCGTCTCCTCTGACTGGCTGTTTTTTCTCTAAATGTCTACAAACAAACGGCCTCTGGTCCTGCCTTGCTTCCCTGGAGGATGCGGCTAAAATCAGTGTGAGAAACAGAGAGCTGCAACAGACCGTGGAGACTCCCAGAAAAATAAAACTATTCACAGTTCATCACACTCTCCAGCTAGTTTTATAGCTAGCTAAATGTAGCTGGAGTTGATTGTGTGTTGTTGCATGTGTGGAAGCTAAAATATAGTGCTAGGCTTAATATTGGATCAGATTTTATTCCATCTCTCCAGTCCCAAAGTCAAAACCATACGACACTCAAGAGACTGAGTTTGACTGTGAAGTCTGCAGTCCTCCCACGCTGGAGCCACTCTGTTCATTCAGGGGCTCTGCAGATTCCAACACGACTGGATAAGGCCAAATCAGGGCCATACTGGTCTGACAAGTAGGACAGATAAATGAGCTCTCCCACCAACAGAGACAGTCATGTTCTGATAAACAGAGTAGACAGGAGAAGCTAGTAAACAAACTTCTGTACCTTTGTCCGTTTCACCACACTTTGACTTTGGCTCATTGTTTATGTAAAACAATAATCCACAGGCATGTTAGTGTGGAGGAAATTTCATTTATAATACAGTGAATAGTCAGAAAACAAGCCAATGATTAACATGGTAATGTTGATCAGATATAAGCACAAATGCATAACTGCAGGGGTTTTTTTTGTCATTCAACATACATAATAAGCTACTAGAGGGAAGTCTTATTCGCCACACAAACACTCCATTTGGAAAATAATACACAATCATAACCCTCCTAAGTTTTCTTTCCCTGTTTCCTATTATGGTGTTCTCAGCAAAAACTAGACTGTCTGGTTTATCTTAACAACAATCCACCCGAAAGTATAAACAATCACCAGATGATGTGTGGCATCTTTTAACCAACCTCATTCCTAGTCATTATTACAAGTTCGACACTTATTTTTTGAATTTATGGTGTTTAGACTTTTCAGTAAATTAAGTATAATTTACTGTGTTACTGTAGGTAGGTAGATTTATTTTGTCACAATAATAACAGCTTATAGAGTGAAATTGAATTTGTAACTCCCTTCTACTACATTGCAGACCGTATACATTAATATAGAAGCAATTAGAAAAATGGTAACCAGAAATAAACTATATTCAATGGAGCAATGCTGAGGATGAATTTGAGTTTAAAAGTCACTGTAGTAAAGACCAGAGGAAAACATATTGAGGGATTATCACAGACTGGTATCTGTTCAGCCAGAATACTGTTCTGGTCAAAAATGACAGAAGTGATTTTATTCAGAAAGAAATTCATGACAACTTATATCTAAATGAACATTTCTTAAAGCATAGATACATGGGTGCGGTGTGGGGTTATATGGGGAGGTTTTCCATCTGCTGGTTGAATATAATCACCACTGAAGGGGACATTATGAATAAAAAGCATTAAAAATCAATGAAAGTGGTTATCGCTCATTTTAAATATTCAAATGCCTAATGTGGAGGTATACATGAGGCCTTTGGTCAATCAGATGAAATCTACCATATTTATGACAAGAAAGTTGTCATCAGCCGTTTTTGCACAGAACACAATAGGAGGAATCACGTGCTTTTCATTTATAGAAATGTTTATAATTTGATATAAAAAAATGTTCTGCCATTTGCCCTGTGACTATTATTCTCGGACTGATTACTCAGCGGAGAATTCCCAGCAGGTCAGAGCCAAGCAGCTCCTTTCCAGTCCACTGTTTACATGAGATCTTTGAATATAAATTAAGTGTCATTAATCACGGCGCCGCCTGTAATGAATCAGTGTCTGCGCTCTTTTCTCTCAGTGTAAACACATCCTGGCCGTCTACCTGTGTCAGGCCACGGGTGTGACTCAGCAGGAGAATGTGTCTGATCAGCAGATGTCCACACTGCTCAGCGGGATTGCAGCCCCATGACAGCCAGGTATGTTCAGCACAGCAGGTGGACCGAGGACCCTCTTGGATGAGAGCCGATGTTTTAAACGGGCACTTTAAGATGCTGCTAAGAGGATCGGAGCCCGGGAACGCTACCACGGTTTCTGCTCTGTCATACGTCTCTCTGAAAGACCCCAGATGTTGCTTTATTTATTTCTTTGTTTGGAAGAGCTCTTAATCTGTTTCCAGGGAAACGACATCTGTTCTTTGAGTATGCGCTGCTTTATTTTTAGGTTCTTTAAGCTGCATCAATCAGAAAATAGTGAGCGTCTGCCTGCTGAAGAGAAACATTTTTAAAAACATGAGCAATTTTTCCGTGTCATATGTAAATTAATTGAAATTTTTGGAATAAAGACTGATGTGTAACAATATAAACATTGCCTTTATTAACAAAATAATTCACCATACATACAGTTTGCATCATGTTAAATAGCAGTTATCAGTTTGCAGGTGTAGTTTTGTTTAATGAAAGAACATATAGCCTCTGGAAAGGTTGAACATCAGCTGGACCACAGTGGATGTTTTTCCTGATTAGTAACAACACTATAGCACACTGACAGATTGGTACTTCGGAATGAAAGGCAGGAATGTTGAACTAGATCAACTTATTGTCCGTCTTACCTTTAAATCGCAAATGAAGGCAATAGTTTGACATCAATCAATAGCTTGTAGAAAGCCGGACAACTACAGTACTTATTTTTACAGTCAACAAAGATAATACAACGTTACAGTGCAGTTACAGTATAGATGTCTCCATTGGAATGTACTAAAACTTTCGCACACTCCTGGATTTTAGCCCTTGAAGGTGGCACACTAGACACAACGGCAAACGAGGGAGATAGTGAAGCAGTGGAGGCGAGTGCTCAACTTAGAAACACTTGCTAAACACCAATACAACATGGTTCAACACCACCAACGAAGCACACCATACGGGAAATGATCTGAAATGTCAGTGCAATGTGTTTACTGATAGCTCGCGGGTGACACTCCAAACCGAACTCTGCTTTGCTCTGATTAAATTCACCTTAAAATACCCTTTTTTGTGATTCATCAGCTCTCGCTCCTTCAGTTTATTAAGCTCAGCAGGAACTTGCACAACAGTGCTAACCACCACACCCCTCATGAGGTGCATCAAGCATCAGGTGCTTTAAGGCTTGACTCTGTGGAAAGCAGCACTGCCAAACTATAATGCTGCATACGAGCACCATCAAGTGCAAAGATTTTGCCTCTCCGGGAACATTTCATTAGAGTTACCTGCTTTTGCTGTTTTTTGGGGGAGGGGGACTGGGATGTCTATTAATCGCATATATTTGCACGCAAGAGTAAGGAGCGTTGGCTCACTAGTAGTCAGTGCAACAATTTATTAAAATTTTTAAAAGAGATTTCATCCTTAAAACTGTATTGTTTCCTCAAATTAAACCGCTCATCTCAGTTCAGTCAGTACTTCAGCAGCTTGTGGAGGACTGACTGTCCTAACTGGGCAGATGAGAGCCTCAGGATCCCAGCTGAGACTGTGTCTGAGGGGAGATGGGTAATCAGCTGGACACTGATATTCTCATACACCCAACTGAATCAAAGTAGTGATGCTTTATGTTATACAAGCCACTAAATACATGTGTACCAGACGCTTGATGATTAATAATAATGTAAATTGCATTGATTTGCATCAAATTTGACATTGGCTTGTCTACTTATAGAACGTCTTCTGGCTAAAAACAAGGCAGCTGAAAATGCTCTGTGCAGATGCCATATTTCTATAAAAGGGTACAACCGGTTTCCCACTTCCTGAGCTTTTGTCTTGTTAATATGGAAATGATATGAAGCACCACCATTTTGCTAAAGTATTTCTTCTGTGTGGGTCTGCGTGACTGAGTGAAATCACACTGTTCATCTAGTAGCTACAAAAACACATTAGCCACAGGGGTCAGGATAATGACCCCTGTGGCTATGAAAGCTGATTCATGGTTTAGAAAACGCATTTATCTTTTCTTGTTTTTCTTGCATTTTACCCCTTTTCTTATAATTTAGTTCTACGAGAGTCCCTGTCTGTGAACTGCTGTGTCCCTGTACACAGATGTTTTTGGAGGAGTCACCACTGCAGCAAGAGGAACATGCAAACACTGGCACTTAGTTGAAGCAGCAGCTCAAGAACATTTCTGCCATACAAAAGTATTGTACTGACAAAAGGAAATTCTTTCTGTAGGTTGAGCCTGTGAAGGTTATGAGTAGGAATTCATTTTTAAGGTCACGAGCCAAAGATAACCACAGATGTAGACTACTACTCTTGTACCTCCATAGGTCCATTAATAGAAATCTAGCCACACAAAGCTTTTTGATTTTTACATTCTCAACGAAAAGGTCCTGTAATAAATAAATTAATAAAGACTGGCACTGAGTGTTGACAATCCGGTTGGCTTCAGAATGATAAATGTCATTTTAGAATGTAGCAAAGTTTGGATCCTGTTCACAGTCCTACAAATCCAGTTAGCTTCAACATGTTTTTTTAAAATCACAATTCCTTCACAATACAAAAGTTCTGTAAGACCCGTCATTCAACATTTCACTGCTTGACCCCTGATACTCTGGCACAATTCATAAATAAATGTCCACATTCAAGGCGTATTCGACGTCAGTCCGTCTTCACATATCACACCCTTGTTCTGTAAACATTATTAACCTCAGTGAAATAAAATTCAAGACTGAAACAACAGAGTTGACAGAAATAATACTCCGCCTCTGTCACGACTCTCTCTATAGCAGAGGGTCGACGGTCATGTGGATCTGGTCTCTGTTGCGTCTACTGCCGTTGGAGCTACGGTACAGCTCCTCCTTGCGGCACAGGACGTGTTGGGCCAGGATCTTGCGGAAGGTGTTCCTGAAGTCCTGGATGCGGTAAGCGTAGATGATGGGGTTGACCGCGGAGTTGGCATGAGACAGAATTATGGCCACATACATGACAACCGCCGGCTTATCCAGCTCCCTGTAAAACAGCGTGAGGCAGTTGAGGATGTGGACAGGCAGCCAGCAGATGGCGAACAGTCCCACTATGATGGAGAGGGATTTGGCGGCCCGGATCTCCTTCTGCAGCAGCCCGTGGTTATGGCTGTCCCCGTTGCCCACGCATTTGAGCTCGATCTGTCTCAGCTGTTTCCTGGCCACAGTGAAGATCTTCATGTAGATGCCCAGCATGATGAGCAGCGGCAGCAGCACGCACACAAAGAAATTAAAGTAGACCATGTAGTGCATGTCTACCACACTCTCAAAGAAGCACTTGAGCTTGCAGCTCCGTAGCAAGTCTCCTCCGCCCCTCAGCCCCTCCATGAGGCCAGGGTTTAAAGTGTTGTTCTCCGCAGAGCTGCTGTTTTTGCAGCTGGTGTACTTTAAGTTCCAGCCAAAGAAGGGGATGAGGCCAATGACAAAGGAGAGGATCCATAAAATAGCAATTATCTCTCTGGCGGTCTTTCCCGTCATCAACTCCTTGTACCTGGAAAAAACACAGCAGAGGTTGCCGCCTTATTAGTAATGTGGAGGTTTGGGAGGAATGAATACAATACAAACATGGGTGAAACTTTACACCGAATGAGCAAAATAAAACTCTCTTTTTCCAATTTTATGATGTGACTACCAGCCCACGTACCTCTCATGATTGTTACATATCTTCATCTATACTTTATTTTCTTCAAAGCTCAAAAGCTCAAAGCTGGCAGACAGGACTTTTTTAGTTCTTTCTGGCTTTGACAAGACTTAATGTTATTGATCAAGAGGTTGTTTGACAGTCCTGAAAAGTTCAAACCGTTACTATAAAAAAAAATGCACTGAATTATTCCCCGCTTGTCTGCTTTACTTGTTATACTTGATGTTATGTCTGATAAGAGCAAGTTTGAATGAAAAAAATAGTAATGCAGTGGAGACGCACCCATAGACAAAGTTGATTGTTTGTCTTGCTCATAGAAATTGACTGTGCAGTTTGTCAGTGTGGCCTAACACCTGCATCACATAATTCTTATCTAGCGCCTTCTGTGGTTGACAATAAGATTGATGAAGTGTGATGGTGAATTGCTGTGATCTGGTGCATTCAAGTTTTGTAGGAAATATTGTCAATGCACCCCACAGACACAGAGCAGTTTGCATTGAGTGTTTGCTTCTGATTGATTTGCGCACACAAAGTCCTAATGAACAAACCATGGTTGATTTTAGCTGGTCTTTTATCATGCTAGTGCATCCTCTCATCCTGACGTGGACGTGTGGGCGAGGACATAACATGCTCTGTAGAAACTCACCCAATTAAAAACAGCTTGCAAACAAAAAAGATCAATGTAAATATCTAAAGGAAGTTACATCATATATTGCTTTCAATGCCGTTTCCACTTTTCATGGAAATATGGTCCTAACAGACAGGCTTATTTTAAAGTTACTGCTGGGCACGTTATCAGCTCCAAAACGAAAGCATCTGCTGCTACCTCTGACAGTATCTCACATCCTGCTTCTCTCTAAAACACACAATAAACATTGCTAAAACTACACACTTGAGGTGTGAGCCTGCTTCTCCTGTGTTTGTATTGGTTCACATCCAGTAAGTGGGATGCCCACAGACCACAACAGCAGAGCATGAAAATTGAAAATGAAACAAGCCAGTGAAACGGCACAGACAACGTCCCTTTTTTGTAGACACTTGTTTTGATGCCTGAGCTGTTACACAAGTTCCAGCTCATGTTTTCCTCTAACGATAAAGGGACAAATGTTGAGTATTAGATTGATTTATACTGATTCAGCATCTTTCCCATTAAGCCATCGCCTCGCTGAGATATGATGTGAAATTATGAACGGCAGGTGCACAGAGTTTGCATATGGAGATGCAGGGCTGACTCACACGAGTGTCGCCCTGACTGTCCCCATCATACGCTGCGCTTCAAGCAAAATGAGTCGTTTCCTAAGAGTGATTCAGGCGAGCGACCGCGTGGTAATGACTCATACACATGCTGAGATGCACGCACACACACACACACAGGCCAGTCTAAGCTGGAGGTGACACAAATAATCCATCTCTACATCTACACAGCACATGGTCACACCATATCAAAGCTTAAAATGGGACGTTTGCAGTTACACTTACATAATAATGATCACAAACTTAAAAAATGTGAACCAACCCTTTCCAAATATATAAAAAGTGGTGAGTACACTGTGGTCCTTCATGAGTTCTCTGAAAACTCTCTTAACGATTGTGGTAAACTATGAAACAAGCATGAAAAGTATTTGGGGAGGTTCCTTCTTTTTGTTTCCATCTCTTTCCGTGTGCCCCCTGAACACGTAAACACAATGAAGACCAACAACAATTACCTGTGACCTCCTCAGCCTGACCAGCTCTGCATCACTTCGCATGTCTGGTGTTTCACTTCACTGTATATTGTTAGCGTTGCAGACTCTCACATCCTTCAACAAAAGCCTGATGCTGCATGCAAAAAGATCTTTTCAGCATTATTTGTATGTCATTTCGATTATCTTTAGTAATACATTTGTAAATGACCTTACATTTAGCTGATACTTTTATCCAAAGCGACTTACAATTGCTATGTATGTCAGAGGACACACGCCTGTGGAGCAACTAGGGGTTAAGTGTCTTGCCCAGGAACACATTAGTGGACGTGTCACTGTGGGGAATTGAACCCGGGTCTCTCACACCAGAAGGCATGCATCTTATCCACGGCGCCATCACCACCCTATACTTATAAATGTACACATCGATAAAATTCTACACTAGACCATTTCTGTATAATATAGTATAATAGTACTACATAATATAGAGTAATATAGGTCTAACTGTTAAGATATATCTAAACATAAAATACCATTTTTTTTAACCAGTGTGTGTGTGTGTGTGTGTGTTGTGGATATAATCCTCACCACACCCTATGGACAGGTGAGTGGTGTTCTGTATTGGTGCAGATAAGCCAGGCTACGAGGAAGTGGATTCAACTGGCCGCAAGTGCCTCTGTCTTCAAAGGCGCAGGCAGGAGAAAAACTCAATCAAAGGTCCGGTTTCAAATACAGAGAATTTGCAAGTAAAATGTCTACCTCTGAGTGGGGGTTCAGAGCGGCCCTATAATAATTATAATATTCCCAACTGTCAATTATTCATCGGTGGTGTGCAAGGTCCGCCTCTGTCCTGTGACCCCTGCACGGAGGCGAGCGGGTCACCCCCGGGAGCCATGAATAATACAGCATTCTTCCCCGTAGAGAGAGGCGAGGACGTTTCAGAGCCCACAATGACCTGCATACCTCAGGTCTCCACACCTTCATCCTGTTTCTCTCTGTCTTCTGCTCCCTCCATCTGTCAATCACAAATACAGCAGACCACACAGGGTCCATTTCCCAGAGGGTCCATCTCCCGCAGATCGCCTCCCACTCTCTCTGTTCTGTTTGGAGGCAGGGAACGGGCGAGCGGCTGAATGGATTAGTTCTGGCATGACGACAGCACGCTGGCATCTATCTTTGTTTTGCTTTCTTCCCCGGCTCAATTCTCCATACATCCCTTCTCTCTGTGCTTCCGCCTGGGGCCACAGACCTCAGCCAGGCCACACACACACTCACAACATCCGCTTGAATGTCCAGCAGTGTCCCCAGTCCTGCTTCAAACACAATCAAACAGGTGGCCATTCACACTGACAACACACGGCTGTCACCCAGCCTGTCGGTGTGTATGCAACAGATCTGTACAGCATTTGCATTATGAATTGTGTTTGTGAAGAACAAGTGTGTCACAGTGTGTCTTGCTGTCAACTCAACAACTTTGTATGTAGGTCTGTCATGATATCAATTCTAAATCGTAAATTGATTGAAATCAAAAGTAGGATCGACGATTCTCCCAGTATTTGTTTCTCTGCTTACAGGTGTCCAGCAAAAAAAAAAAAAGACGACACAGCGTAGCCTACTGTTAGCCTGTAGCTGCACTTCTGAACTTGACGCCACAGCCGGATTTGGAGATGTATTGCAGTTCTGTGATTGACCTTTGCTGTCCACCATCGCTACAGATCTCTAGCTAGTTCAGTGTTTCCACTGGTAACACATATTTGTGTTAGGTTGCATGAAGGCTGCATGAACTTATTATTTGTCTTCTGTGAGCCAACACAACATACGGCCTTTCATTAACTTAACTACCCCTTATGGCCCCCTTCCCACACACACATACACCCACAAAATCGAAAGTCTGGTCTTTGTTGATTTATTTCTAAAGTGACACAAGCCTTCAAAATCTATTTTTGGAGGTCAGCTTGGTTTCAATGCAGTGATACAAACAATTATTACATGCAGCCATGGGTTTAATCTTCACTACCTTCCGATTCAACAGCTCTCTGCGTGAAAGAGAGAACAGACATATAAACAGGTGACAAATCTGAGGAAATGAGTGGAGCCTCTAGAGCAGGAAGTCAATTAGCTTAACTCAGCATTAAGACTGGAATTAGGAGTAAACAGTTATATTGGCTCTGTCCTTAGCTCGCAAATACCCTTATCAGTCCCTCTAAAGCTCACTGACATGTTTGTTTAATCTCTACAAAAACCCAAATGCAAAAACAATTTTTGGTCGCGCTCCAACTATTTCAGCTAGGTACAGTAAATTCACAGGCAAAGGAACCAGTTGAATCTGTGAGCTCAAGCTTCATTTGCTCTGGCACATGCGTCTGGACCCCCTCCCATTCAGACAGATTTCCAACCGACCGGGCCCAGGTCGGGCCAATCACAACCGTTTATGTAATATGAGGCATTTTTGTAAACAATCAAGATGGCTGCCGCTGATGCCGACATTACTGTTGAAACCTCATCAGCAAATTATTACTACCTGCCTACCTGTGTGCACTCGACACATGCACATGAACTTGTGTTTTGTGGGAGTGGCTTTGGAGGGAGGCCAGAAGGGAGGGTGTGGGATACTTTAAAATCCAGCTGTCTCTTGTTCTGCAACTTTGCCTACCCCGGCTTTAAAGACACTGGACCTCTGGACATTTGTTAATATTTGTGAAACGATGACATTGAGGTGAGATGATGCTTACTGTCCCTGACCAAGGTGAGGCAGTGCTGCTGGTGCGGGCAATCCAATGAAGTCTATGATGTGCATATAGGTCACGTGAAAGAGAGACAAAGAGGGAAAGAGCCGCAGGGTCTTTTTCTGAGAAGAAAAGTTTGAGTGGGTGTGTGGCTCTGTCCTCTCTCTAGGTTTAAAACATCTGGCTCTCGCTTTTCACTTCCATTTTAACCATCTGTGAAAACACTTTTATCTGAGAGAGAATTGCAGCCCTCAGACTCACCAAACTCACACAAACACCCACCAGCCATCGCTGTGGACATGAAATTTGAGCTGAACATGTGCACATTGGTCTTATTATTATTGCGTGTGTGTGTTGTGAGGGTGGGAGCTGGGCTTTTCAGAAGAAACTACATTATGTCAGATTGAAAACCTTTTTACAGAGACTGTTATGACCGCGTCGCTGGTTTAAAGGTGATTAACGTTAGGTGTTTCAGACAAAGGTGTTTTCTGCTTGAGGAGGTAGAATGAGGTGTGTTAGGGTTTGGTTTCCGTCTGGAGGTCAAAAATAGAAGCACAAATGGGGATTTTACAAGCCACTTGGTAGGTGGCAGAAATCTTTCATTACAGACTAACTGTCAAACTGTCCTTCCTTGCCAGTATTTGAGCATAATGGAAATGACAGCCCCATCGCACGAACATCCCCCAAAACTATATTCAGTAACCACAACGTTCACTGCACCGAGTGTTGCCTTTAAAAAAACTAAACAAACGGACAACTCCCTGACAATGGTGAAATGCCAAAAACACCCACCACCTGGAGACAGACAATTCTCAAATTCCCAGCCGATAATAAAGCTTTTATCCTTCAATTCACGGAAATATCATGCTGCACTGTTTCCTCAGGCGGACTGCGGACATGCTCAGAGGCTGCACAGTGGAACTTGGTGGCCTTTGCTATCAGGATCAATGGAAAGTATTGATCCTGCACCTTCAGTCACATCAAACAGCTGCATGACAGATCTTTTCAGCTTTTCATGAGCTGCAGGAGGCATCCGATGAAATGCTTGCTCAGCGTTAAGAGTTAGCAACTGATCAACTGAGGAAAATGATTTAAAATAACTAAATTTCTCAGAAACAAATGTCTCGAGTTCCTGCTGCAGAAATAACAAAGTCACCACTGTATTGTGGCTTTACCTCAGCCCTTTACGTTACTGAATAGAGGTTAAAGAAAGAAAGTGTTTGCTAAGTGTGTCTCTAACACCAGATTTAAATAATGTTTAGAGAGGTATTATGTGATTATCAATCTATGTTTAGATGAGAACACTGCTATTTTTACACAAGGCATTAAGTTCCACAGGAAACAGACTCATGAGATCACAGAGCTGATTGTGATCTTCCAGCTCCTGAATTCAATTATTTTCCATAGGGGAGACATGTGTTATTTAGGCACTTTGAGAACATTATTTTTAGTTCAGACACAATCTTTATCTGCTTTTTAGCAAACTGTATATTAACAAGTAATTAAACAGCCAGGACACCTTCAATTCAAATTACAGTCCTGTTGATAGATGGGTGGTTGGTTCCCAAACTGAGATCCAATAACCTACAGAGTCCCCTTGAATGACGACTTTAATCTCATGTGATTGATTAGATGAAAGTAAAATGATTGATTGATTGATTGATTGATTGATTTATGAGTGTTAAAGAGGGACTGTTCTAGTTTGAGGTTTCACCATCATCTTTACACCTAGTGATCTTATCAGATGGGGGAAAACTACTCATAAAGAAATGTAGATGAATTCCACATCATTAATTAAAAATAATAAGATTACTCACCTCAGAGGAATTTTGACGGCCAGATATCTATCGATAGCAATAGCAAGAAGGCTGAAGATGGAGCTTTGTGTCAGTACCAAGACAAAACATGCCAGAAAAAGGCATCCATAAAAGTCCAGATCTATGCCGATGCTGATGGTTATGGCAAACGGGATGGCGAGGCAACCGACCAGAATGTCAGCCACAGCCAGAGACACCAGAAAATAGTTGGTGGCGTTTTTTAAAGTGGTGTTGATCGCGACAGCCCAGCAAACCAGTATGTTGCCGGATATGGAGAGAAGAGCAATTACTACTTCAATCGCGATGTAGAACTCATTCATCTCAGCAAAGTGTGTTAAAGGACTAAAACCTGCAGGCTGTTCACAGAGAAGACGGTCACCCACAACACAGCTTCTAGTCCCAGAGGAGTAAAGTCGTTCTGCTGTAATCCAAGAATATTCCACAAGTATGAGCAGCAGAACCAGGCATCTGTTGAAAAGAACGGAGTTGGCTTTATTTTCATATTAAGAAAAAGTAGTAATGTACTATTCCTGCATCCCGGAGGTGACAAAGGCTGCAGTAGCTGCGTAATAATGCATTCATCCTTCACGCCTGCTGTAACCATAAAAGTCACTGGACACTGTTGCTTCTCACCTTAATGAACCTGTACATCGTCTCTGGATGTTTTCACATCAACAGCGACCTATCTGTGGAGCCTTTAAGCGGCATCTGTGGATCTGTAGCGCAGGTAGACTGTAACACTACTTCCCCCCCCTACAGCAGTTTTGAAGTGAAGAGAGAAACGCAAGAAAGATAGAGGGAAAAACTCAATTTCACAGAGAAGCCACGCCCAAAACACACACACACATAGTAGCACTATAGGGGTGGAATCCCAAACGAGCGTCACCGGCCCGCGCTGCGTAATTACGCGCCAATTAACGACGCTTCCACGTGCTTTCCACTCAATGTAAATGCTGTCTTATTTGTACGGCGCTGCACACACGCACGCACCGCTGCACTGCCCAGACACGCAGCCACATCTGGTTTCAATCCATTCGAAATTGTGGAGTTTCGCCCTCATATCAGAGTCTCCGTGGAGGCTGAAGCAACCCGATTTAGTCACGTTTTCACAGTGTTTGCGCAATATCTTCCCCTTCTGGCTGACGCAAACGCAAGCGATGAAGTCAGAGGAAAAAAGCATGTTTTTATGTGGAAGACAGTTTTAAAGAAAAGTCACACAATATTTCTGAAAACAAAATTAGTAATTATTATTATTATTAGAGAACATAAGACAAGCACCTAGCTCGCCTTTGATTGATCCATATCTATTGTAGTTAGATATTTCAGTACCTGCTGCTGTAGAAATGATTTAAAGTTGAAAGGGAAGTGATTGTCATAAGCAAGAAAACGTTTTCCACTCAGTGTTCTCATGTTGCCTACCCAAATGTTTTAGAGCCCTGGCACACAGCTTCAATGTGCGTGATGCATTCACTTGAGAGAAAAACGAGATGAATGTCTCAGAATTATGAGATAGTTTTTCTGGTAAAAAAAGATGTTGCTTTGATTTTTTCTGAATTAAGGAGAGGCCTAAAAACCCGAAGAGAAGCTCTCATTTAGCTGGATTCCATGAAGCATACATGTCCCACCTGTTAAGCTTAATCCATTATTTTGGGTTGAATTTGAGACACTGGGAAACACTCCTGTCTTTAGGTAATATAGATGGTATTGTTTTTTTGTTTATTGATTACTTCATATAGGCCTAGCACTGTTGTTGTTGGAGGGTCAGGCTGATTAGCATCAGCGACCTTGACCTTCTCTGTGCACGCCAGAGCTTCTGCCAGGTATTTGAGGTATCACATGAATTCAGAAAAACAGCAGATGTTTTTTAAATTGTAACTTTGTGAATGCATTTCCCTTCCGTATTAATGAGAAGAGTGGAAAAGCAGTTCAACCTCAACAAGAGCAACACAGGAACACACACAGCATTGTTGTGTCGAAACATAACCTGAGGATTAAAAAAAGAGTGGCTGATTGAAAATAAAACTTGACAATGCTTTATTGACCAATATTCATCCAACAGGCCTCCAAATCCGACACCCACAAATAGAAAAGTGCACACATTTCGGGCCACATTCTCACTTTTCAGATTGCATGTCTTGTAAATAAATAAATAACCCTTTTATCTTCTAAAACAGAATTAACTAAATGGAGGCTAATCTAAATCATACCACAAAGAAAGTGTTGCGCCTTAACTCTTCTTATCCTCTCCTTCTTGATTGAACATGGCATGCCAAATCTATATGCTATATCTATATTACAAAGCAGCTGCAGTACCATAATCATTGAGAGTCTTGATGGAAAACATGAAGGAACAACACAGGAGGGCACAGTACGATGGCTTGATTCAGCCGATCCTTAATGCTGGAGACAATTCAAACATAGAGATCAATCTGTTTATCATAAAAAATATTTCTACAAAACTTTTCAGCTACTTTCATCGTGTTCAATAATTTTAGTGTTGCATCAGGGATGATAGGTTTGTCTTACTTCTATTTTAAAGGACACACTCAATTAAAAATGGAAAATATAAAGGCTTCAGTTCAACTCAAACTTGTCAGTTCAAAATACTCTCTGCTCTGCAAAGTACAACTCCAGCTTGTTTACAATAAGCTACATTACAGTGAACAGGGCTGGAATCTACCAAAGGTTTGGTTCACACTGGTTCACTCATGACTGCATGTTGTTCAGTGAAAGGAGATATCACACTGAGCGCTCAGACAGAAGGTTACACCTTAACCATGCATAGATAGTCTCATATAAGTTGTGTTTTGCCAAAAGTTTGGCACATGTTCAACAGGGCAATGTGTTTCCTGACTGTAGTCTTTGTAAATTTGGGCCTCAGTACTGACAGTAGCATCCTGTTGAAAATGAGAAAACAGCAGCTCCATGACTGTTTGAGAAGTTCTTGAGAAACTGAAGTCATGCCTCTAGTGTCAAACGGTGAGCAGGAGAGGGGGTTAAGGTGGCATCGTTGGGTCTGTCTCGAAGGGCAATGGTGTGGTGACAGAATAGTGCCTCCAGCTTCTTTCAGACCCACCGGTCAGGTCTCAAAGTACTTGTAGATCTGAGAGACGTACTGCATGACGCTCTGCCAGTCCGGTCGGTCGGTTTTCATCAGCTCCTCCATGTTCTGTTTGGGACAGAAAGTGGGGGGAAGAGAGCAACAGCAATTTAGATGCCAAGCGTAGGAGTTATGGTATTGCAGTTTGTAGTAATTTTGAGCTTTACAAACAGCACCCCCATCAGGCCAGTCAGATAATAGTGCTAAAATGCAGGTGTTGTTTTTCTCACAACAATGTTTGTTGTTGCTTTCATATAGAAGTCAAATGATTAAGGAGAAATAAGTTCATCCTCAAGTTTTACTGCAAACAGACATCAGAGACGGACAACAGACCAGTCTGTAGCGTGCAAAAAGATTTGTGTGTGTTATATAAGAGCAAAATATCAGATGAAATGCAGAGCGCAGACGGGCTGGAGTATTTTGATGGCCTGTGAGAGGTCAGAGGGGATTAAAATTGTTTGTTTTAAATTTCTAATTAGTTCCATATTTACATGCTTTTTGATACTCTGTTTTCTTTCAGTGTTTTACATTGCTGAAGAACTGTTAGGGTACTGACAGTGATTCGAGGTGAACAGTGACAGAAACCTGTGAACGGACTGTTGAAACTATGACAGGAGATCATTCAGTCAGCTGTAAAGGATATTTGACTTCATTATTGGGTAACTGTATGTAAGTGTGAGAAATCAGACAAAGAAACATCATTTCAGTGTCTTCTGTAATACTGATACAATTCCTCAGACATTTGACTGCCTTGACTGCCTTGACCTAACGTAAAAGATAAAAGTGTTATCTTAGTGGCAGTGATGACCTCGCTGATGAAGTTATTTTAACACAAGAGTTGGAATGTTTTTACTGAGTGACGGGCTTTTTGCAGGACAAATGCCCTTAGTGTTTTGAGAACGGTAGAGTAGCTACTGAGTAAAAACTGTAAACTACAGCATTGTGAAATTGTGAGAAGCTGCAGAGACAAATGCTGGCTGACGGTGATGAATCAGACAGTGAACCAGACTTTCACATGACTCTGTATGGAACCATCGCCGTTAGCTCAGATTTACGCAGAAGCTTCACTTCCACAATGTCTCAACCTCCTAATGGGAGGATGGTCATTTAGTATCTGACAGTTTGTTTATACCGCAGAGAAAGGAGCTGAAACAATGTGTGGGAATCGGTCAGTAGACACTAGAGAGAGTCTGTGTCAGTCAGGGAACAGACAGTAAAGGGAACATGGGAACAAGTTTTATAGATCTATCTACACACACACATACATACATACACATATATATATATATATATATACACATATATATATACATACATACATACACACACACACACACACACGAAAAATTTTGTGCAAAAGTTCATTTCAGTAATTCAACTTAAAGGTGAAACTAATATATTATATGGACTCATTACATGCAGAGTGAGATATTTCAAGCCTTTATTTGATATAATTGATGATTATTACGTACAGTTTATGAAAACCCCAAATTCAAAATCTCAGAAAATGAGAATATTACATGAAATCAATAAAAAAAAAAGGATTTTAAATACAGAAATGTCAGCCCTCTGAAAAGTATAATCATGCATATGTACTCTGTGTCTGTCATGTCTTTCATCTTTCTCTTGGCAGTGCCCCATAGATTCTCTATGGGGTTCAGGTCAGGTGAGTTTGCTGGCCAATCAAGCACAATAACCCCACGGTCATTGAACCAGGTTTTGGTACTTTTGGCAGTGTGGGCAGGTGCCAAGTCCTGCTGGAAAATGAAGTCAGCATCTCCATAAAGACTGGAAACTTCACACTGGACTTCAAGCATCTTGGATTGTGGGCCTCTCCATTCTTCCTCCAGACTCTGGGACCTTGGTTTCCAAATGAGATGCAAAATTTGTTCTCATCAGAAAAGAGGACTTTGGACCACTGAGAAACAGACCAGTTATTTTTTTCTTTAGCCCAGGTAAGACGCTTCTGATGTGGTTTGTTGTTCAGGAGCGGCTTGACAAGAGGAATACGACATTTGAAGCCCATGTCCAGGACCCATCTATGTGTGGTGGCTCTTGATGCAGTAACTCCAGCCTCAGTCCACTCCTTGTGAAGCTCCCCCACACATTTGAATGGCCTTGCCCTGACAATGCTCTCCAGGCTACGGTCATCCCTGCTGCTTGTGCACCTTTTTCTTCCACACTTTTCCCTTCCACTTAACTTTCTATTAATGTGCCTTGATACAGCACTTTGAGAACATCCAACTTCTTTTGCAATTACCTTTTGAGGCTTTCCCTCCTTGTGGAGGGTGTCAATGATGGTTTTCTGCACAACTGTCCTGTCAGCAGTCTTCCCCATGATTGTGAATTCCACTGAACCAGACTGAGAGACCAATTAAAGGCTCAGGAACCTTTTGCAGGTGTTTTGGATTAATTAGCTGATTAGAGTGTGACACTTTGAGCCTACAATACTGAATCTTTTCACAATATTGATTTTGAATTTGGGGTATTCATAAGCTTGAAATATCTCACTTTGCATGTAATGAGTCTATATAATATATTAGTTTCACCTTTTAAGTTGAAGTACTGAAATAAATGAACTTTAGCATGATATGCAAATTTTTCGAGTTTTACCTGCATATATATGTATATATATATATATATCTCCTCTTTCAGAAAGAGGAGCTAGAAAAGATGTGTAAAATAAGAGCAACAGTGGTGCCAGTGGTAATCGGAGCACTGGGGGCCGTACAGCAGATTCCAGGTAAAACATCAGAGGTCTCTGTCCAGAAGAGTGCAGTCCTAGGAACAGCTAAGATACTGTGCAGAACCCTCAAACTCCCTGGCCTCTGGTAGAGGACCCGAGCTTGAGGATGACACATACCACCCCGCAAGGGGTG